CAGAAGGAGCTGAACATGAGGCAGAGGAGGTGGATGGAGTTTCTGAAGGATTATGACTTCCAGTTGATGTATCATCCTGGTAAGGCCAATGTTGTGGCGGATGCGCTGAGTAGGAGATCCATCCATATGTCGAGTATGATGGTGAAGGAGTTAGAGTTGGTAGAGGAGTTCAGGGATTTAAATCTCTGTGTGGAGTTAGCTCAGGATCATATTAGTTGTGGAGCACTTACCATAACTAATGAGTTCTTGAGGCAGGTTGGACTCAAGCAGTTGCAGGACGTGGAGTTGGTGAAGCTTCTTGGGTCGTTGGGTACCGAGAAAGCTGTTGGTTTTGAGTTGGGCAGAGATGGAATTTTGAGGTTCAAGGGTAGAATTTGCCTACCTCAGGATGTGGAGCTGAAGAGGGCTATGTTGGAGGAAGGTCACAAGAGTAGACTTAACATACATCCTGGTAGGACTAAGATATACCAGGACCTCAAGAAGACTTTCTGGTGGTCTGGTATGAAGAGGGAGATAACTGAGTATGTGGCGGCCTGTCTGACCTGTCAGAAGGCGAAAGTTGAGCATTAGAAACCGAGTGGGTTGATGCAACAGATTGAGATTCCAGAGTGGAAATGGGATAATATTACTATGGATTTCATCGTGGGGTTGCCTAGGTCAGCTAGGAATAGTGATGCTATCTGGGTGATTGTAGATCGGTTGACCAAGTGTGCACATTTCTTGCCTGTCAACATCAAGTGGTCCTTGGAGAAGCTGACGCAGTTGTATGTGAGGGAAATAGTACAGTTGCACGGGGTGCCTTCCAGTATTATTTCAGACAGAGATCCGAGGTTCACTTCCAGATTTTGGCAGAGTCTACACCAAGCCTTAAGAGAAGAAACAAAATATCATAAATGTGCACATAGGTATCATAAATTTTAATAAAATTTTATTAAAGTATCATAAATGGTAAGTATTTTTAAAATTCGATTAACTATATTTAATTTCTATATTATAGCAACTTGTGTATTTCAAAATCCCATCAATTACTAAATTGATTAGGACGGCACATAGGATCTTTTCTGGTCTGCTATGCAAATAAACAAGTAGGCCAACATGTGAAATAATAAGTGATCCACGTTTTATTAAAGAAAAAAAAATGTGGTCCACGTTTGTTCGAGAGTGTCTCATTATATGCTTTTTTGGTGAAGAAGAGAAAATGGAAGAAAAAGAAATCAAAGAAAAAAATGTGCTCCATGTTCGTTCGACAGTGTCTCATTATATGCCTTGTTCGGTGAAGAACATAAGGTAATGAAACATTGTTTTAAATCTTATTATTTGGCTATTTTTAACTACTTATATTGATTAGAAGGTAATGAAACATCTTAAGTAGTACTCATAATTGATTATAATATATTTATCTGCATGAAACATTTTTATATTTTTATACAAAATTTTAAAATAACTGTTTATATATATATATATATATTAAAATGATCATATTAGAGATAAAAAGAATAATAACTTTAAGTTTTAGAGTGAAAATAAAAAAAATATTCTAAAGAAATCAAAAATGTTATTTACAAATTTTAGAAGATGAAAAATTATTTATTTTACCGAGACTAAAATTAAAAGTT